ATAATAATAAACGAACAAAACCCCCCAATTCCCAGCAGTCTAAGCATCTCTGAAAACTGCATCGCAAAATGGAAAAGAGAGTCCAACTACGGTTTCAAATGAATAAGTTATTATTCGGTAGGTGTCCTTTCGCTTCCTCCTCATCAATCCATCTGCAGTGTCCCTATTCATCCTTTCCCTAATCAGCTCACCTCCAAGATACTTTATAAAGCCCATGGTGGGAGTCTAGCCAGACTTTCTCTCACACAGATACAGACGCACACACGGACACACACACACAAGGAATACTGCACACTATGTGTACAAATACTTGTGTCTGCCCAAGCTCACTAGGTTTGCCCAGCTGTGCTCTCCCCTGGATTTACACACATCCAATGTCAGATTCACGACTTCGGGAGGATACACCTTACCTTGGCTTCTACAGAGAGTAGTGCTCGCCGGGCCCCTGCAGTTTGTAAGAGTGGAAGAGCCGCAGAGAAGGGAGCGAAGGAAAGACAGCGCCTGACCTCGCCGAGGTTTCGTCTTCAATGCAACGTGAGCTCTGCCCTCATCAAAGATGGCCGTTCTTTTTTACGTCAGCAGCTTTTAATAGCCTTCTCCTGGAGGGGCGGGGAGGAAGTGTTCTGGGGGAAGAGCGGAGGGAGGGTGTATGTTAAGGGGAGGAGGGGAGGAGCCGGGAGGTGCGGAGCGCTTGACTCAGCTCTCCGTGCGCTTCGTTGCAAACCTTTGTATTTTAGTCTTATAAACACCCAAACGGGGCAATTCGTATGACTCCATTTTAACACTCGTTATCGGGCAAACACATTTGTCTCGCGACTGGCTTTCTGAAGTCCCTTGAGCTCTCTCTCTGATTATGTATGTGCGTATATATGTGTAATATATATCGTATATAAATGTATAATGTACCCCTACTGAGTTGAATCTTTGGTTGAGTCATAGAAGGGGAGGGAAAGCAGAGGAGTAGAAGACAGAGAGAGAAGGTAGATTTCAGCTGCCATTTGTTTTTTTCTCTAAAGATGAGGGTCCAAAGGGGCACCCCAGTCAATCCTCACAAGCTCCATATATGGCCAGGTTACGTGGGTTGCTATTTTTATGAGTGATTTCTTCATTTTATTAAAGAGGCATCCAGGGCTTAAGCCGCATTAAAGTGGTCAGCGGAGGAAAGAGACTCGCTCACATATTTTAAAGTACGTCAGAGCAATTATCGCTAAGAGACAACTAATGAAGGAGGAGGGGGGAAGACGGGAGGGTAGTTAAACACTACAGCGTGGGTTTGCTGGAGTTCAAGTCTTGGAGTTCAGATTTTTTTTTTTCCGGAAAGCAAAATAGATGACGCTGTTTACGACTGAATTTACAGCCAGCGCTTGGTGTTTTATGTTGGATTTCTTAGCAATAGTCCAGAGAAGCAAGTACATGCCTAATAGAACCGTCCAGACGTCCAGGGGAGCGTGTACAATAGAAGGCTGCCGGTTCGAGCATCGCTGGAACATGACCAAATCAGTGGTTCATTTAGTACTCAAACATTAGATACCAGTCCAGGATGCCTTGAAGGGGGTTGGGTGGGGTGAGGGTGGGGAAGAGGGTTCTGATACTCAAAACAGGGCGGTGGCAGGAAAGGCTACTTAGGCTGATTTGTGAGAAATTTAAAACAATATAAAGCAATAATCCTAACTGTCCTCCTTGGTTGTGCATTAGACGCCCAGGGAGGGTGGGAGGTATGCAAATAATTCCGCGGTAGCAGCCCTCGGATGATTCACAGGTGTTGGGGAGGCTGTGTGGCGGGGCTCTCCACGGGGAGGGCGAGCTGGGGAGCGCGTGGGAGGTGGGGGGACCTCGGCTGAGGAACTGTTTGTACTTTTCCGGGAAGGATGCGATTAGAAGTCGTGCCTTGCAATGTTAAAACTTGATGGCCTCTTTTGGGCGATGGAAAATCCTTGTTTAAAAGAAGCCATTCAAATCTGGGTCCGGAAAAACCACGCAAAATCCGGCGTGCGCGCGCGCGCGCGCACACACACACGTCTGCGCGCGCGCGCACACACATATTCACAAACAGACATATGCACTGTTCTGAAAGTCAAGTTTAAGGTTCTAATTGCATGCTTGAAAGAGGGGGTTGGGGGAGCTAGAGGGAGAAGGGAGAGAAGTGGGGTTGAGAATCCCCAAAAAGGAGTAAGAAAAGCAGAGTTGTAAAAGGCTGGCATGCTAGTAGAGAATAAAGAATACCTTTAATTGAGATTAAATAGTAGTTGTTTCTTAAAGGTTCTTTGACCAAAAGAATATTTTGAAATATTGATGTTTTAATAACAACAGAGTGTTTGGATTTTTATTAAAGCTGGTTTCTCAAAACAAGGTACATTGCTGAAATTTGTTAATTTCAATATACATTACATTTGTGTGGTCTTAGGATATTTCATTGCTAATAAATCTCCTAGTTATGGTTCATGCTTTCATTATAAAAATAATTTTTATTTTATGAAAAGCTTTATAAAAATAAATTTTTTTAGAGACTGCTCCCTCCCCCAACCCACCCATTTGTGTGTGTGTGTGTTTTTTAGCCTACAGAAGCCGGGCCTGGGGAACTTGCAGTGAAAAGAAATTTAAACTGTGTAGGGCCCTCAGATTGAAGCCATTCAGTCAGAAAGTTGAGTGAAGGGGTGGGGAGTGGTGTTTCCAAATTAAAAAAAAAGAGAAGAAACTACATCAGTGATGTAGGCTCATCTTCTGGAAGAAGCTATGTGGCAGTAGTTTGAATTTTCAACTGTGTATACCCCACACTGACATGTTTAAAAATTCCACAGAAGAGGAGAGAGTCAGACTCATTCAAAGATCACAGAAAATACCACAGGCTTCACAGGATTATTTCTTCATCATGACAGATAATACAGTTTTCCTGTGCTTATATTGAAATGATGCAGTTTGAAATGAGCTTCAATCTGCTCTGGGAAAGGTAGCTGACTCTAATTTGAGAAACAAACATTGGCTAAATATAAGTCTACTAATAATGACCAGATAGCTCTAATGTATTTTTAATATGATAATGAATTTTTACCCTTAGGGTTTTCTCACTGCTTGATTAAAAAAAAAAAAATCTATGACTATGGAGTCATCCTTGCTAGAAGGGAATCAGCAGAGTTATATTATTTGGGGACTTTAAAGGCCTAAAAATGATGTAAATTTTGCTCTGAAATGATTCAGTTGTCTGTGAATTATTTTGACTAAGAAACAACATGTAGAGTAACTAATGCTTAAGAACTCATTTGATGAGTAATGAGAAAATTACCTGCTCCACTGGATGGATATTTACACGATGCTAATTTAGTCTGGTAGTATTTGGTTTGCAATACTTCCAGATCCCAGGTATTTTGCTTATATCTCTGAGGTAAGGTACAAGATACATAGTTGACTTAATAATTTACAACTTCATAAAGAATAATACAAATTTTATGAAATATCATATGCTTATAGCAACATCAGTTTGTAAGTAGCTTAGAACTGGCACAGGTTAGAATCCCTCTTCAAGGTCTTTCTTTATGAGATGCCTAGAATCCTGTGTGAGTATTTCTAAAACACTATAATGACACAAGGTTTAGGTACAAGAATACACAATTTAATAGGAAAATTATTTTGATACCTTGGTTTGCTTTCTACCTTACTGGTTTGCCACTTTCACTTTATGTGTTCTTCCAGTGCTTATCCCTGGCACCACCCTATTTACAAATAATGGCATACATTTCCTTTCTGAAGATTTAATTACTCTAAACCTAAACTCCCCAGGCTGTCCTTGTTCCCTGAAGCTTCAGAAGCAGGGACATAACTTGAAAGAAGTAGAAAGAGAATCAGTTATATATTGGTTTCTGTTTCTGACTTGCCAGGTTGAGAAAAAATAAGACTGCCTCTCAGAATTTTAAATAGCACTTTGTTCTTTATTAAGAACAGCTTTGTAGGAAGGAAGGCAGAGAGAGCTCAGAGACCAGAAGCTGGGCACTTGCATACTCCTGTGTGCCATGCATCAAAATTATAGGCTGTCTTTTATATATGAATGCATTCTGGGACCCTTCCCAGAGATGTACCACCATACCTGTGGTAAAATAGGGAGGAGAGACTTGTGACAATCATGGATGGAGGAAAGGAGAAAATAGTAGTCAAAATTAGGGTCTCTGGTGGATACAGTTGCCATCAAATTATCACTGGCCATTGCAGCATGAGTTTGACCCCAGGATAGAGAGCTGACTCAACACATGGTGCAGCAACCCTCCTCTGTCTCATCCCTGTTTCTCCCCTCAGCAGCGTATTTCAGTAGATCCGCCTGTTCTGCTCCCCACTCTGATGAATGCTCTCTCCCTCCACCACTGTACCTCTGGCTTACACCCCAGTTCTTACATGAATAAATAAATAAATCTTAAAAAAATAATTGTTAAAACTAGCAAACTTCATAAAAAGCTATTTGAAATAGGGATCATGGTATCCCTTCAGTTCTACCACCTCTCTGTACTTCTGCTATCTCATAGGTAAGATGGGGATAATAATTATGTCCAAATTAAAAGGAAATCATGAAACACTTAGAATCTTGTCTTGATGATGGGGTATTGGCTAAATAAACCAAATCTATCAGTGTGATGATACTAACTTTCTCTAGGTGATGGGTGTAACTCATAATACAGAGGGTTGATCTTTTTCACTAGCTGTTAATGAGGTATGTATTATTTAATTGCTGGGTGTTGGTTTCTTCATCTGTATTAGTTCATTGATGTACTCAATATCTGATGTTTGATATATACTTGGCACCATAACATATTTAGATTTAGGTAAAGCAGAGGAGGATATTGGGAATTAGAGAGGACATAGTTAATGCATGGTAGAGCTGACATTTGAACCCCAGAGTACAAGTTCATAGTCACTGTGTGAAAAACACTGCATAGTCATTGAATAGTCACCATGTAGAGTCTTTAGTGTAGACTCTTCAGATTCCATCCGATTTAGCCCTTTACATTCATCAGGAGTTTCCAGAGAATCAGAGCCAATAAAATGTATATGTGCATGTGTTTATGTATATTTGTGTGCATGCATGTAGATGTATGCATTAATATATAGATGCATATACATACACTCACAGGCTCCATACCAATTCTCCTTATAAAACACACACACAGAGACACATTCTAAGAGACAGGTCTATTATACTTCATTGACTCACATGATTTGGGAGCTGACAAATCCAATCCTAAATCCCAAGCTCTGGCAGGGTGAGTAGGCAAGTAGGAGACCAGGAGAGCCAAAAGTATAGTACCATGCCAACGACATGCAAGTTCAAGATTCAGGAAGAACTGTTGGTTCACTTTGAACTACAAAGCAAAAAAAAAAAAAAAGTGAGTGTCCCAGTTTAAAGGCACTCAAGCAAGAGGAATTCTCTTTCACTAGGGAGGGGTGCTTTTTGTTCTATTCAGGCTTTTTAGCTGATTACACGAGACCCACCACATCAGGGAAGACTATCTACTTTATAAAGTCTACTGATAAATGTTAATGTTATCCTTATAGAAAGGAGATATAACTTATAGACACCC